GAAAGAGAGACAGAGAGAGAGGAGAGAGAGAGAGGAGAGAGGGAGGAAAGAGAGACAGAGAGAGAGAGGAGAGAGAGGGAGGAAAGAGACAGAGAGAGAGAGAGGAGAGAGAGGAGAGAGAGAGGGGAGAGAGGGGAGGGGGAGAGAGAGGGAGGAAACAGACAGAGAGAGAGAGAGGAGAGAGAGGAGAGAGAGGGGAGAGAGAGAGAGAGAAAGAAAAAGAAAGAAAGAAATAGAGAGAAAAGCAAAAGTATGTTTTTTTCCCCTCTTACTTCTTCATTCATTTTTGAAGAAAGCAGGGGGTTTGTGTGTGGGTTTGGTCCCCAGCCCCACATCACACCGTAGGTCCGTTTCCTACCCAGGGGGCTTGACCCAGATCAACACTGGGCGAAAGGCCGACTTTAGAAATGGGTTGAAAAGACCAGTGACCTGTCTTACCGCCCTCAGAATCCCCCAGGAGTTAATGTCCTAAATCAGCCGTGTGTTCGAGCAAGCGAATTTTCTAATGATCAGCACGCAAGCCTTCTAATTGTAAAGGGTAAGCAGGAGTAGCTTTGGCTCAAGGATTAACTTTAAACTTGGGATGGAAGTGGAGAAGAGCAATTGAAGTTTTCACAATTGAGGGTGAGAAAAGGGTGACCCAGGAGTTGAAATGCCGTGTCTGAAAGTGCAGCCAGTGGCAGTTCGTAGCAGCAAAAATAGTCCACGGTCTGGGGCATCTTTGGGCAGCATATATGAAGCACTGTGCCAATAAATAAATATATGTATGTATATATTCACATGATCCTGTATAGTGGCCCTGGGATTCGAGTGTCACCTCCATTGCACAGATTTCAACAATTCACAGCTGAAGATCAGAGAGTAACTTGGTCGAGGTAACACAGCTTGCAAGAGGCCCCAAAGATGTGAGGTTGGAAGAAGACTGATCCTAACCATTTAAAACTGTTTTGTAGGAGAGAGTTTTGCAGTTCAGATGGACTCCAGGGTACTGGAAGTAGAAAGACAAACTATGAATTTGTCATCTGCTGATCTAAATGTTAGTTCCTATTTTACCACAGTTTTTTTTAAAGAATTTCCCAACTCAATAAAAAGTAGACTTGCTCCAGTTCCCATTTTAAAGTATTTCAGCATCTGCACGCTCTTAAGATTACACACAGCTGTTTAATTTCATTTACAAACGGAGTCGCAACGCCCTGGGGACGGCCTCCCACCCTTTCCACCCCACCACACCTTGGCCAGGCTGGTCCCAGGACTGTCTCAGGGCTGTGGCCCCATGTGCACATCAAGTGCATGTCCCAGAGCATGCTATGGGCGGAAACACAGGCTCGGGTGTGTTTTCCAGGAACACGACCATCTCCCTGCTGACCACTGACGACGCCATGGTCTCCATCGACCCCACCATGCCCGCGAACTCAGAACGGTAAGGGACTCCAGCCGTGCTCCTCCGGGTGTGTCTGGCACTTCTCTCCATGACATGGAGGCTTTCTGTGGTTTTATAAATGTGCTACTGCAGAAAGATGTGAATTGACAGCAGAGATGGAGGGCGGGGGGAAGAGCGAGTGTGAAGGAGGCTGAGGCTGGACTCGTCGTGTTCTGCAGAAGAGCTGGGCATGTTCCAAGATAACAATTGCAGCCATGGCTCTGCACCCACTTCTCAACAGGAGGAGGCATTGTACAGAGGGGAAACTGAGGCACAAGAGGGTGTGTCAAGAGCTGCAGAGCCAGGCCCCGGGACCCCCACGTTAGCCCCTGGAAGGGCCGCAGGAGGTTCCCAGCACAGCTCCTGGGGACCCTTCCTGTATAGCCACTTGGGGCCGGTCTCTGCGTTCACGAAGTGATGCCTGCGTTCATGAAGTGATGCGCAGAGGGACGGAGATGAGGGAGGCCCAGGATATCAGGAGGAGAGGCCAGTGAATGCCTCTGTGAATGTCTGTGAACCAGGTCGAGCTGGCGGTGTGTGGCCCAGGAAAGACCCAGATCAGGAACCCTCAGGTCAGTGACCTGCCCGTGTGCCGGGTGACCGGGGAGGCCCCAGCAGCCTCCTCTGCTCTTTGTGGTTGGGCAAGGTGGAACTTAGATTTCTTCATGAGGAGAGGGAACTGGTGAGCCAGGGGTGGAGGGTGTGACCTCAGGACCCCTCTCTGGTGTCCTCTGTTCCTCCCAGATTGGGGCTTACTGAGCCTCCAAGGGACTCAGTAGATGCGATAGGACACTTGTCAATCTGGTCATCAGGGTGTCCTGCCTGACTGACCCATGGCCAACTCTGAGCCCACAGGAGAAGGCACATGTCAGGTAGACCCTTGTGTCAGCCAGGTCCCAGTGCACATGGCCAGCGCTGTCCCCCTCAGCGAGGTCACAGTGGACACGGCCAGCGCCATCCCCCTCAATGAGTCCCCGGTGCACATGGCCAGCACCGTCCCCCTCAGTGGACACGGCCAGCACCGTCCCCCTCAATGAGGCCCCAGTTGACATGGCCAGCACTGTCCCCCTCATCGAGGCTCCAGTGGACATGGCCAGAGCTATCCTGGTCTGCCATCCTGTCACTTTGAGGCCTCAGCCAGGTTCCTCCCATCTGGCTGTGCCTGTCAATCTCCCCTCCTGCCCCAGTCAGGACACCTATCTCCTGCCCCACACCCTCTGGCTCTGACTCTTGGCTTCCAGACTCCCTGGAAGGTGCAATGCTAACTGGCTCCCCGGAGACTCCAGTGAGCATCGTATCTGCCTCAACACCAGCTCCAGCCCTGGGGGTCTCACTCAGAAGTGAAGTGACTGGGTGACCCATCCTCCTGACACCCACAAGACTAAAATGATCTCTCCGAGGGGATTTCACAGAAACCAGTACCTTGTCTATGCCAGCTGGGGCTCTGAGAGAAACTGCTTTGTTTTTGTGAACTCAGTTGAAACAGCATGCAGAGACATTTAAACTGGGTGGGAAATGCACAGGTGTGGGTCTACCAGGTACGATGGAGATGGAGCCGATGAGGACAGAGATAGAGACAGACGCAGAGGTGTGGGTCTACCAGGTACGATGGAGATGGAGCCAATGAGGACAGAGATAGAGAGAGACGCAGAGGTGTGGGTCTACCGGGTACAATGGAGATGGAGCCGACGAGGACAGAGATAGAGACAGATGCACAGGTGTAGGTCTACCGGGTACAATGGAGATGGAGCTGATGAGGACAGAGATAGAGACAGATACACAGGTGTAGGTCTACTGGGTATGATGGACACGGAGCTGATGAGGACAGAGGTAGAGATGGTTGCACAGGTGTGGGTCTACCAGGTACAATGGAGATGAAGCTGATGAGGACAGAGATAGAGACAGATGCACAGGTGTAGGTCTACCGGGTACAATGGAGATGGAGCTGATGAGAACAGAGATAGAGACAGATACACAGGTGTAGGTCTACCGGGCACGATGGAGATGGAGCTGATGAGGACAGAGATAGAGACAGATACACAGGTGTAGGTCTACTGGGTACAATGGAGATGGAGCCGACGAGGACAGAGATAGAGATGGTTGCACAGGTGTGGGTCTACCAGGTGTGGGTGATGCAGACACAGATTGAGACACCAGCGGGGATGTGCTCTAGATAATGTGTTTCTGGATATAGAAAAAGCTGCGGAGACCCCAGCTGTGATTGTGGGTGTGGATATAGGCACAGACATGGTGGGAGGAGAGAACAGACTCTCCCCCCTCATTACAAACTGATTGTGGCTGGGGGCAGCACATGCTGAGATGTGGCTGTATTTGTCCCCCAGCTGTTGCCTGCGTCCTCCTGCACCCCCGTCTCCTCTGTACCTTCTTACATTCCCTCTGCCACCTGTAGGTCCAAGCCTTACTGAGCTCTGACCTCCCTGCCTCCAGCCTGCCTCTCCCACACGGCTGCCAGGTTCAACCTGGTAGGACACCTTCTTCTCCATGGTGGCCTCCCAGCCTGGGCCCTGCCAGCCTCTGTCCCACCAATTCCTCCAGCTTATCCCCTGTCCCCCCACCCAGCCCACAGGATCCTGCTTTCCCAGTTGTACAGAACCAGCTTCTGCTCAGCCCCTAGGTGCCAGTCCAGCCGCTTGCCTTAAGCACCATCCACAGTCACCCAGCCCTCACCATCACCATCCAAAAAGTCACCAGCCCCTTCACTCTCAACATCAAAAGTCACCCTTTCCCATCACCATCCACAGTCACCAGCACCATCACTGTGACGGTCCAAAGCCGCCAGCCCCATCACTGTGACGGTCCAAAGTCGCCAGCCCCATCACTGTGACGGTCCAAAGTCACCAGCCCCATCACTGTGACGGTCCACAGTCACCAGCCCCATCACTATGACGGTCCAAAGCCACCAGCCCCATCACTGTGACTGTCCAAAGCCACCAGCCCCATCACTGTGACGGTCCACAGTCACCAGCCCCATCACTGTGACTGTCCAAAGCCGCCAGCCCCATCACTGTGACGGTCCAAAGCCGCCAGCCCCATCACTGTGACGGTCCAAAGCCGCCAGCCCCATCACTGTGACGGT